CACATTAGAATTATTAACGACCGCTAAAGAGTTTTTAGACTATCCACTAATAATGTTTTTATCTTCAATTGTAGGCTGTGTGGGAGCTGACCAGGCACGATGGTGAGGTGTTCCATGTAAGATGAGCGGCGAAGTTGAGATGGAAAGAAAAGGTTGAGTAGTAAAACGCACTTTGATATTTCATGGATGAAATTGAACCAAAAATGCAAAGTTGAGATTAAAATGGTCAATTTGCTAGTCCTAGGATGAAATTGAGCATAAAGGTAAACTTGGTTGACCAAAACGGTCGTTTTGAAAGTTAGAGATGAAACTAAGCCTTAAAACATAGCCGAGTGACTAAAATGACTATTTCTGTTTAAATCAAATAAATGCCAAAGGCCCATAATAAGTGCTAGGTGCAGTAAAGGATTAAGCAGATATCAATTCTCTTTAAGTAGGTGATTATTGTTTTCATTTGTTATGAGGTTTATAAAGGTGGAAGGCAAGCCATATGCCCAAATACACACAGTTGTGACATGCACAAGTTTAGGCCGCTAGGCCAAAACATGAGTTGTGCTAGTGAAAGTTTTGTAGCAACCGACGGACTTGGACAGACAGACCACATCAAGGGCGATATCAGCGGAAGATTTGTAGCTCCAATTGTAAATGGCACCGTATTGAAGGAGGATGCAGTCTACCTTTGCTAGGCCTCGGAGGAGTGAGAGTAAGTGACGGATGGAGAGGGATATGAGTGAGGGATGGACAGAGGAGAAAAGAAAAAAGTCTACATAACCCCTAACTATTTATGGTGGACTACTTCACCTCAAACTATAAAACTAGATTTTTATTCCTGAACTTTTCAAAACTGGTCAAATAACCCCCCAAGCGGTTTTGGATGATGGTTTTGCTACAACGACTGTGGTTTTGTGTTTTTCTTTTTTATTTATTTTCGCTGAATCTTTGAAAAATCATAGTAAATCACAAAAAATCATAAAATGAAAAATCCAATTTTGTTGGACTCCACATGAGTAGATCTACACAGTAAACATATAATATGGTATGATTTAGTACAAAGTTTTTGTTGTAGCTTTAAATCTATGCCTTTTGTAATTAAATGGAATAATTCATAGCTGCAGCTTTTATGGTCTAATTGTGGTAAAATTTTTATGGTGGGCTAACTATTGTATGCTTGAATGATAGAAAAAAATTTCATACTCATTAGATCATGTATAACTTAGTTATAGAAAAAACACAGATTTGACAAACATAAACCTAAATAATTCTATAACTAAGTTATACATGATCCAATAAGTATGAAACTTTTATTATAGTTCAAGCATACAATAATTAATATACAATAAAAATTTCACTATAATTGGACCATAGAAGCTACAACTATGAATTATTCTAATTAATTACAGAAAAGCTACAACAAAAACTTTATACTAAAGCATACTATATTATATATTCACTTTGTAGATCCACACATGTGGAGTTCAACAAAATTGGATTTTCTATTTTATGATTTTTCTATGATTTACTATGATTTTTCAAAGATTCAGCGGAAATAAAAAAAAGAAAAAGACAAAACCACTGTAGTAAAACCACCGTCCGAAACCGCTTGGTTAGGGGGGGTTATTTGACTGGTTTTGAAAAGTTTAAGGGGTAGAAAATCTGGTTTTATAGTTTATGGGTGAAGTAGTCCACCCTGAATATTTGGGGGGTTACGTAGACTTTTTCCGAGAAAAAATGACACATCAAGTTAGGAGAGGGATAACTTTTTATTACTTTAATATTAGATATGATATTGATATAGATGTAAGTTTGTAGGAATTGATAATTTATACACTAAGATATGTTTTCAAATCCTAATGTAGGTTAAAAAAATGGAGGGACTACCTTGCAAATTGGTGTTATATAGCCTAAACTACCTTGCAATTTATAAATACTCATATATACTTTTTTTCTAAAATCGGGGTTATATAGGGAATAATTTGTAAATTGGTGTTATTAAAATTAGAGAAATTTAATTTAATAAAGCTAAAATAAATTATAATTTGGGATGAGACAGTAGTTACTAACAATCAAGATTAGCAAATGTGGATGACCTCATCTACCAAATAAATTTACTAGATCAGTTATCCAACATCTGCAGGAGGAGAACCCCATTAACTAATTTTCCTACGATCTCATGAAGCCACGTCACTGTATAGGGCCCGCTTCTCCCCACCTTGGTCGATACATCATTGACTACTTTGCCTCTTCTCCTTCCCAGTGCGGTAAACGCGGGCAACTATTCTTCTCTAGCATCTCAACGGACGAACTGCTCCAACTCACGACAAACAACCATTCACAGCTTTCTCCATTGGTGTGGAAATGATTGCTTCATAAAACCGCTGTGAGAAACTGAGTGGTCGGTTAGATTTATATAAGCTAGCAAGGTTCCTTGGACTCCATTCACCCTTTCATTCATCTAGCTCGTGGATCAGGTGCTGGCCTTCTCGATTGTGAGAGCCATGCCAGCCATCTCCCTTGGCGCCAGCTTTGTCGTGGTGGAGGGCGGGGACCATCAGCACGTCGCAGCGGCGTGCCACCAGTAGCAGCAGTGGGAAGAGGTGAGGGCAAGGAGAAGCGTTGCTCGTGCTCATCAAGAGACGGCAGTGGCGGGCAAGCAACAGGGGAAGAGCGGGGGTCACATGTGTTGAGTTGTGATTCAAATTCAGTTATGTATAAGATAAATGCTAACTTCTGCCGGAGCAAAGCTGAAAGCTCTAGTTTGGTTTTCGTTAATTGATGAAACCCTAAGTGCTAACCTAGTTTATCAAAGTGATTATGAGATAGGTAACACTACTCCAAGTGATGAAGCAATGGTGAAGATCATGATGATGGTGATGGCATGGTGATAATCAAATGCTTGAACTTGGAAAAAAAAGAAAGAGAAAAACAAAAGGCTCAAGGTAAAGGTATAAATAGTATGAGCCATTTTGTTTTAGTGATCGAGACACTTAGTGAGTGTGATCAAATTTAGGATCGATAGTCGTACTATTAAGAGGGGTGAAACTCGTATCGAAATGCGGTTATCAAAGTGCCACTAAATGCTCTAACTAATTGCTTATGTATTTAGGATCTAGTGGAGTACTAACATCCTTGAAAATGTTTGTAAAAATATGCTAACACACATGTGGCCAAGATAATACACTTGGCGGTTGACATATTTGAGCAAGGGTAAGAAACTTCACCGGCGCCCTATACAGAAAAGACGGAGGTCACTGTAAGTGACCGGACGCTGGTCTCGGTAGAACCGGCGCGTCCGGTCAGTAGAAGCAGCGAAGACGCAGGCGTTGGTCTTTGACCGGACTCTGGGTCACTAAGTGACCAGACGCTGGAGGGTTGCGTTCGGTCCTACTGACGTGGCAGTGCACATAGGAGACGCCGAGTGACCGGACGTTGGGTGAGTCCGGTCGAGCATGACCGGACGCGTCCGGTCGTGATTTCTCGCTTCTGGATGCTTACTGGAAACGACCAGACGCTGAGGTCCAGCGTCCGGTCGTCACTTAACCGTTGGGATTGGGCGCTTAGTATTTGAAGAGAAGGGACACGTGGCATGCATCGCGCGACCGGACGCTGAAGTCTAGCGTCCGGTCAATCTGACCGATGTGTTCGGTTGGCCCGTGTTCAGTGCAGTGAGGAGCCCAACAACTCTATTTCATGGGACTTCTATTTAAGCCCCATGGCTGGCTCAAGCTCACTCTCTTGGTCATTTGCATTGACATAGCAACCTTGTGAGCTTAGCCAAAGCCCTCCCACTCATCTTCATCATTAATCCATCATCATTGTGAGATTGGGAGAGAATCCAAGTGCATTGCTTGAGTGATTGCATCTAGAGACACTTGATATTCGTGTTTCGCTGTGGGATTCACTTGTTTCTCTTGGTGGTTGCCGTCACCTAGATGGCTTAGAGCAGCGAGGATCATTGAGCGGAGGTTGGTGATTGTCTCCGGCTCCGATCGTGGTGATTGTGAGGGGTCTTGTGCCTTCCCCGGCGGAGCACCGAAAGATAACTCTAGTGGATTGCTCGTGTCATTGAGTTACCTCACTTGTGCGTAGGTTCTTGTGGTGTCCAATTGTGTGGATGAGGTTCATGCAACACCTCTTAGCCGCCGAACCACCAAGTGTTGGTCGACACAACGGGGACTAGCGTGCCGGCAAGCACGTGAACCTTAGGAGAAAAATTGGTTGTCTCTTGCCCTTTGGTATTCTTCCGGTGATTGATTTAGTATTTATCTTGTGATTGGTTCACTCCTCTACATGGCGGTATAATCACCCTACTCACTCATTTATATTCTTGTAAACTAGTTGTAGCAAGCTCTTTAGTGTAATTAGAATTGAGAGCTTGCTTTGTTGTTTTTAAGCTCATCTAGTGGAGCTCTTTAGTGTAGCAAGTGTGAGAGCTATTAGTGAGTAGTGGCATAGCAAATTGTGTGTCTAGAGATCATAGCAACTAGAATTGTTGGATAGGTGGCTTGCAACCCTTGTAGAGCTAGAGCAAGTTTATATTTCGTTATTTATTATACTAATCAAATTGCTCTAGTCAATTTATAGATTTTTAAATAGGCTATTCACCCCCCTCTAGCCATATTAGGACCTTTCAGAAGCGAGGCCCGTCGCTGGGAGGCTTGGGCCAAAGCGAAGTGGAGGTTGAAGTTAGCCCATCATGTTTCCCTACCGCGCCTCGCCCCCGCGGTATGGATCATCGCCTATTAGGGTTTTCCATCTATATATACTTCCTGTAAGCCGTCGTCTTGGAAAAAGAAAAGTTGTAAATCCCCGACATTTGTAACCTCACCCGATATAGTGAAGATTTGTTGGCTGGTGCCCGTGGTTTTTCCTTCTTCCTTGGAAGGGTTTTCCACGTTAAAATCTCATGTCCCCTGTGTTTGATCTACTGTTCTTCATCGTTTATATTGCCTATCATTTCTAACAAGTGGTACCAGAGCTTGGTTTCACCTTAGGGTTTCGCGATGGCATCGATGAAGTTTGATCTACTGCTGCTAGATTACAAGACGAGATTTGCGCTGTGGCAAGTCAAGATGCAGGCGATTCTAGCACAATCTTTGGATCTTGATTAGGCATTGGATGATTTCAGAGGCAAAGGGCAGAAATCATGGACCGCTGAAGAGAAGCGGAAGGATCGTAAGACTCTGTCTCTGATTCAACTTCATCTACATAATGATATTTTGCAAGAAGTGCTGCAGGAGAAAACTATCGTAGAACTTTGGCTCAAGCTGGAATCGATCTGCATGTCCAAGGATCTAACCAGTAAGATGCACGTGAAGATGAAGTTGTTCACGCATAAGCTGCAAGAAGGTGGTTCGATGATGAACCACTTATCGATCTTTAAGGAGATCATTGCCGACCTAGTGTCGATGGAGGTAAAATATGATGATGAAGATTTAGCTCTTCTACTGTTATGCTCACTGCCTAGTTCAGTTTGCAAATTTTCGAGATACCATACTATTAAGCTATGATGAACTAACCCTTGCTAAAGTATATGAGGTCCTCCAATCGAGGGAGAAGATGAAAGGTATGGTTCAGTCTAATGTGTCGTCCTCCAAGGGCAAAGTGTTGCAGGTTAGAGGCAGGCTCGAGCAGAAAACCTACAACAACAATAATCGAGACAAGAGCAAGAACGGTAGAGGCCGTTCAAAGTCTAGAGGTAGGGATGAGTTCTGCAGGTATTGTAAGAAAGATACTCATGTCATTGAGGATTGTTGGAAGCTGTAGAATAAGGAGAAAAGAAATGGTACGTATAAACCAAAAACCAAATTCGATGGTGATGGTAAGGCCTCTGTTGTCTCCGCTGCTGCTGATGGTTCTGATTCAAGAGACGTTCTTGTTGTTTTTGCTGGTTGTGTTGCTGGTCGTGATGAATGGATACTTGATTCTGCATGCTTGTTTCATATATGCTCTAACAGAGATTGGTTCAGTTCTTACGATTCTGTGCAGAGTGGAGATGTCGTGCATATGTGAGATAACAACCCATGTGAGATCGTGGGCATTGGCTCTATTCAGATCAAGATGCATGATGGCATGATACACACACTGAAAGATGTGAGACACATACCAGGGATGGCCAGAAATCTCATCTCTCTCAGCACACTTGATGCCGAGGGGTACAGACACTCTGGTTCAGGTGGAGTGTGTAAGGTATCAAAAGGCTCTCTCATTTATATGATAGGTGATATGAATTCTGCAAAGCTATATGTTCTTAGAGGAAGTACTTTACATGGTTCCATCACTGCTGCTACTGTTTCTAATGATGAACCTAGTAAAACTAATATCTGGCATATGCGTCTTAGGCATATGAGTGAACTTAGTATGGCAGAATTGATCAAGAGAGACCTGCTAGATGGTTGCACTATGGGTAAGATGAAGTTCTGTGAGCACTGTGTTTTTGGTAAGCACAAGAGGGTAAAATTCAATGCATCTGTTCATACCACCAAAGGTACACTTGATTATGTACATGCTTATTTGTGGGGGCCATCTTGTAAGCCCTCTTATGGTGGTGCTCGTTACATGCTTACCATTATTGATGATTACTCTAGAAAAGTGTGGCCTTATTTTCTGAAAAATAAAGATGATACTTTTGCTACTTTTAAGGAGTGAAAAGTTATGATAGAAAGGCAAATTGAAAAGAAGGTAAAATTGCTTCGTACTGACAATGGCGGTGAATTCTATTTGGATGCTTTTAATGATTACTACAGGGAAGAAGGCATTGTCAGGCACCACACCATCCCGTACACTCCTCAGCAGAATGGTGTGGCTGAGCGCATGAACCGAACCATCATCTCGAGGGCTCGCTTCATGCTGTCCAATGCTCGTATGAACAAGCATTTTTGGGCTGAGACTGCTAACACCACTGTTACTTGATCAACCGGTCACCTTCTATCCCACTTAATAAGAAAACTCCCATTGAGGTATGGTCTGGTATGCCTGCTGATTATTCACAGTTGAGAGTTTTTTGTTGCACTTCTTATGCTCATGTTGATAATGGAAAGCTAGAACCTAGAGCTATTAAGTGTTTGTTTCTTAGTTATGGTTCTGGAGTTAAAGGATATAAGTTATGGAATCCTTAAACTAAAAAGGCTTTCATGAGCAGGAGCGTTGTTTTCAATGAATCTGTTATATTTAATGACAGCTAGTCCATAGATGTTTCTCCAATTGGTTCTGGTGAGGAGCAGCAACATGTTAGCATGCAGGTGGAGCACGTAGATGATCAGGAAACTAAAATTGTTGATAACAATGTTCATGATATTGTTCAGCACTCACCTCCTATTTTGCAGCCTCAAAATCAGTCTATTGCAGATCGCAGAACAAAGAGGAATTATGGATCTCATCCACGTTTAATTAAGGAATGTGATATTGTTCATTATGCCTTTAGTTGTGCTGAACAGGTGGAGAACATTCATGAGCCGGCTACGTACACTGAAGCTATTATTTCTGGTGACCACGAGAAGTGGATTTCCGCTATGCAAGAGGAGATGCAGTCACTCAAAAAAATGGCACATGGGATGTTGTGCGCTTGCCTAAACAAAAGAAGATTGTTCGTTGTAAATGGATCTTCAAGAGAAAGGAGGGTTTGTCTCCTAGTGAGCCTCCAAGATTTAAGGCAAGGTTAGTGGCAAAAGGTTTCAGTCAGATTCCTGGTGTTGATTATAATGATGTGTTCTCTCCAGTTGTAAAGCATAGTTTAATTCGTACATTTTTTGATATTGTTGCTATGCGAGATCTTGAGCTTGAGCAGTTAGATGTAAAGACTATGTTTCTACATGTAGAGCTCGAGCAGGAGATATACATGGACTAGCCAGAAGGGTTCATAGTACCTGGTAAGGAGGATCATGTTTGCAGATTAAAGAGGTCCTGATATGGTTTGAAACAGTCTCCCCGTCAATGGTATAAAAGGTTTGATTCTTTTATGATGTCACATGGTTTTAAGAGGTCTGAATTTGATAGTTGTGTGTACATTAAATTTGTTGATGGACCACCTATATACTTGTTGTTATATGTTGATGATATGTTGATTGCTGCCAAGAGCAAGAAAGAAATCACTAAGTTGAAGAAATTGTTGAGTAGTGAGTTTGAGATGAAGGATCTTGGTGCTGCTAAGAAGATTCTAGGTATGGAGATTACAAGAGACAGAAATTCTGGTTTGTTATTTCTTAGTCAGCAAAGTTATATTAAGAAAGTTCTTCATCGTTTCAACATGCATGATGCAAAGTCTGTTAGTACTCCTATTGCTCCTCATTTTAAATTATTAGCTTTACAATGTGCTAGTATAGATGAGGATTTTGAGTACATGTCAAGAGTTTCATATTCTAGTGCTGTTGGTTCTTTGATGTATGCCATGGTTTGCTCTCGTCCTGATTTATCATATGCTATGAGTTTGGTTAGTAGATGTATGGCTAATCCTGGTAAAAAAAACATTGGAAGGTTGTTCAGTGGATTTTTAGGTACCTTCGTGGCACAACAAATGTTTGTTTGAAGTTTGGCAAGACTGATAAGGGACTCACTGGCTATGTGGATTCAGATTTTACTGCCAATTTGGATAAGAGGAGATCTCTCATAGGTTATGTGTTTATTATTGGTGGTTGTGCTGTGAGTTGGAGGGCAATATTACAGCCTGTTCTTGCCTTGTCTACCATTGAAGCAGAATACATGGCTATTGTTGAAGCATGTAAAGAATCGGTTTGGTTGAAAGGTTTATTTGCTGAGCTTTGTGGAGATGATTCTTGCATTAATTTGTTTTGTGACAGTCAAAGTGCTATATGCCTAACTAAAGATCAGATGTTCCATGAGAGAACGAAGCACATTGATGTCAAATACCATTATGTTCGTGATGTTGTTGCGTAAGGTAAGCTGAAGGTATATAAGATAAGCACACATGATAATCCTGCTGATATGTTTACAAAGCCAGTTCATGTTGCTAAGTTTGAGCTTTGCTCAAGCTTAGTTAATATAACTGTTTAGCCCAAGAGGCTATTTGGCACCAGAAGTATTTCTTTGTCATTTTAGGGTGAAGGTTCATTTTATGCTACAAGAAGAAATTTGTCTCAAGGTGGAGTTTGTTGAGTTGTGATCCAAATTCAGTTATGTACAAGATAAAGGCTAACTTCTACCGGAGCGAAGCGAGGCCCGTCGCTAGGAGGCTTGGGCCAAATCGAAGCAGAGGCTGAAGTTAGCCCATCATGTTTCCCTACCGCGCCTTGGGGGTGCTAGGGGCGGAGCCCCCCTCCCCCGCCCCACGGTATGGATCATCGCCTATTAGGGTTTTCCATCTATATATACTTCATGTAAGTCATCATCTTGGGAAAAGAAATGTTATAAATCCCCGATGTTTGTAACCTCACCCGATATAGTGAAGATTTGCTGGCTGGTGCCCGTGGTTTTTTCTCTTCTTCCTTGGAAGGGTTTTCCATGTTAAAATCTTGTGTCCCTATGTTTGATCTACTATTCTTCATTGTTTATATTGCCTATCATTTCTAATAAGAGGCCTGCACGGCACGAGGCTACGACAGTGGTGGGCAAGCGATAGGGGAAGAGCGGGGGTCAGAGGCCCGCACGACACAAGCTAGCCTCGTGCTCCTTCCGTGTACCGCGCACTCCTCCCACATCTAGCCTCGTGCCCCTTCTGCGCACCGCGCGCTTTGCCGACATCTACGCCGTCGCTTCACACTACTGTCCTGCGTCGTTTGGTGGTGCTCACAGTTCCTGGGCGGCACCGACGCAATAGATGATAATTCTTCTTTGAACTATGAGATGGCGATTATTTCACATGAGCAAGGATAGACAACGAGCAGTCCTAACATGCTATGGATAAGGCATGGACGCATGGTAGTTCAATACTTCATTCATTTCTTCTATTTTCTTTTTTTCCATTCTTTTTAATTTTCAACTTTAATAGTATGTCAATGTTCTGCCATGATCCAATTCAACACTATAAAGTTTCCACAGCAAGGGTACCATCTAGTTCTCTTAATATGAATCATCCCATCCATACTGGTCCCTTTTAAATGCCCCCACCCCCACCCCCCACACACACCAAATAGACCACCATATATCATTCTAAGTAAGTATAAGATTGTGAAGACCCAGGTCATTACTACTTTAGGCCTTGTTCGCTTGAGCTTATCAGCCAGAATCAACTCTTCTTTTCAGCCATAGGAATTGTGTTTTCTCTCATAACAAATCAGCCCTACAAATCAACCACAACAACAATAAGTCCTGCCGAACAGGGCCTAATAATCTTGGCCTATGATTCATTACTCAACAAATACAAGATTGTCAAATAATAAATCATAACAAAGTTGGTAGTAGAGAATAGCTAGAAGGTGCAAATAATTAGTACAATACCATTCTACGCACTTAAGTCTTTAAATAAGCGTCACATGTTTGCGCATTATTACAAACCCTTCATATAGAAGTTCAAACTAGATTACTCAGTGAGCGACAAAGTCACATCGCCCCTGACATACATAACTTAGCTAAGGGGATTATTTATTCATCCCATCCACCATAAGAGGTGGCAACAACTTGACTAGATTCCTCATAGTCATCATCCCAATCTGCATAGGCATAACCATCGTCTAGACACCCTTGTACACATTCTTAGGGATCATCAGGAGAGGGAGAGTTAATACAAGAGTGAGCACAACATACTGAGCAAAGCATATATTAAATCAAAGCAATGCAATCTGGTTATATCAAATGACCAATAATATATCATCTTGCTGTTTAAAATAGCATTTATAGAAAAAAAGTCAAGTTCAAAACACTACTAATCACTCATATTTCGAGGAAGAACCACCCAACGGTTCCCGTAGCCTCTATTCCAAGAGACATGACATGAATTCACGATTTAAACATGTGCAGGTTTATATCATCTTACCCATGATTACCTTTAACAATTTTCATCGCACTTACTTTGATGCGACTCATAGTCAAGATACCAAATTTTTCTGATTTCTATATATCATACATCACATCTTTCCGTGTGCGCTAATATGTGTCTGGGTGTACTTCATTCGATACCTAAATGGGGTTTCATCATCCAAACTTCTCCTCACTTACCATAGGGATTATATAACAACTTCATGGGTATTAGAATCGACCCGTCCCAAATGAGTACATGGTCGACACGATTTTATACGACCCAATAACACAACTGAGAGTTGGTTATTAATCCTACCAAACTTTTCCATTCAAATATACTGTAGGGAATTAGTTGAGCCCCATGTCATCTAATTCACATGTCATCCATCCATAATTAATTTCAGAAAATAACATTTAATGCATGCTACTTTTACTTTACCAAATTTGTATAAAAACTCAAAGAGAAAATGATCAAGGATTCTTGTCGGAGTTGTAATGATTTAACTCGGGTTCAATTTTGTTCGCTGGATGTTCCTATACCCGCCCGTGCTTGATTCCTATAATCTCTCACAACTAAAAAGACTAAAGAGGAGGGTGCGACAAAAACTTTGCCTCACCTGTCTATCTGCCCGTCCGTGCGATCTTTTTACCGCGCCGACATGTGGGGCCTACGTGCGAGCAGCTCCCCACAAGCGCCCCATCCCGCATCCTCTCCCTTCTTCCAGGGTTTGACCGCCACCATGGCAAGCCGCCTGCCCTACCCCCGCAACCACGATGCCACCGGACCATCACGCGGGGGGTGCGCAGTCTCCTTGGCACCATGGAGCCATCGCGTGGCACCAAGTGCGCTCTCACCACCACCGTAGGGTTACCACCATGTGAGATCTTTGTGATGGACCGAGGCATACCACACCAATGGCGGACGCGGCGAGCAAGACGTGGGCCAGCATGGCACCCGTCGGCAGGCACTCGCGTAATGCTGGCGGTGGATACAGAGAGCAGGACGAAGGGTCACGACGACAAACAATAGGGGAAGGCCCAGGGGGAATCCACGGCCACCAGTGCGATGAAGCCGAGAAGAAGTCCTCTGCGCCGACCGCTGTGGCTCGGAAGCTGCGCATGGCCACGACGCGGAGTCGCTAGCTGCCTGGCCACCGGTGCAGAGGCCATGCGGGGAGATGGATCCATCACTACCGTGTCCTATATAGGTAGCGTTGTTGAAGGACGCCCGCCTCCAATCCATACATCCATATTGGTATGTTCTTCCTCTTTTCTTGATAATTTTATTTTAATTTTGGATCTAGAAATAGGCGAGCTGTTTTGGATCCTCAAAATTTGATGGATGTTGCCTTGCTTATGAAGTCAGAGGATCAAAAGAGAACAATATGAGAAATTGTTGTTCAAGGGATGACATGGGAGACAAGGCAGTCAGAGGAAGAGCATCATCTCCACCAGATCCTATCAGTTAAGTAAGTATCCACAAGATCTTTTCATTTTGTTGTTAAAGTCCCACGACATAGATATTGGACTGCTTATTGTGTACTACATATTGTACCCTACTTAGCAACTAGGGATCTATGTGGTTCCATTTTCATTAGATTAGTTCATAATATATTTGCATTAAGTAGTACTATGTAACATTCTCAGTTTTTTATTTTATTTTTTATTTTTTGGGTGACCTTATAGCAGAGACCAAAAAACTCTATATTTGAATAATGTTGTTTTCTGCTTGTGTTTTCTACAGTTGCCTCATGGTTGGAGATCAAGTTGTGCCTGCCTGATTTCACTGGATCTCAGGGGTTCAGAGCAACTTCATGGATGTGTACAGGCTATGGCCATTCTTGAGCTCCTGGACAAGCTCTTGGAACTGATTTCATGGAGGAGAGCTTGAAGAACTCTGCGCTGAAGGATAAAACAGAAGACATTTGGTGGAGGCAGACACCGGCAACAAGCCACTAATCACACCTGCCGCCATATTGAGGGCATGTTTTGTGGGTGCCGATTGTATGCTAGGAGCAAGCAACTATGCTTATGTTACATCTAACTGGTGTGCTCTCTTTCTGTGGGATGTTCTTCAAACAGCAATACAATACTTCATGGATTAATATCTATTTAATAGATGTTAGTTTGATATGGCTATTCATAACTTCTGTCTTTATGGACGTATTTAATTGAGGTTATTTTGATATGCATATTCATAATTTCTGCTTTTTATGGGGGTTTTGATTTAATTTACTTAAAGGTTCCATGCAAGGTTTGTCTGATATTTGGGTTCTCAAGCGCAATCAAGGGTTTTATGTGCATTGTCAAATGTCAATTATTGGACTACCATTAGTGACTTACTGACTTCTTATTTCCGCCACCTTAACACTGATTTGATTCAGGTATAGATGTTGTATTGAGTAGAACTCTGCTTTCCTCATGGTACTTATGTGACCCTTAATATCTACTCATTGCTAACATTATCCATGTCTTTTCTTTGCAGGGATAGAGTTTTGTGGTGGGTGGGTGGGCTAACTATAAAATCCATTTTGAAATATCATGGCATTTTGTGGTATCCATGAATCAACGCAGAGCAATAGGTGTCCATTTGTCTTTGCTTACTTGTGCTATAGATGGTGATCCACTTCTTGGCGTGGTGGTGCAGGTCTGGCAGCTCCATCGAGTTGACTTTCAATGAGACAGTGTTGACATTGACCAGCTCAAGGCACGCCTATGGCCCTTATTTCATTAGATATTTTTTTGGTCGACATTGACCAGCTGAACATTGATGTCATATCCTTCTGAATTGCATAATGTTTTTTTGGTTGAGTAAATAGCTTTTCTGAATTTGTGGTAATGATATTCTTAAAAGTTATTCATAAAAAAATTGTTATGGCAAAAAAAGCTAGCATCATTTGCTCGGCTGTCGACAATCCTAAATTGTTGCCAAGTTTCTGTCAGTTTTTGCAGGCTACTTGCTTTGCACATGCACATGCAATACGATGGTTTCAGACCTCTGGTATGATCTCTTTGGCCCAGTGCCATGTTGATTGCATTCTATGTCAAGATGCTATTTTGTCCTTAATTCTAAGTGCATTTTTTACTTGTAGTACTTTCTGAACTTCTCAGATATTCCAATAGCCATTAAAATTGTCATCCCTTGTTCCTTATTTTACTTAAAGAAATATAAACATTATTGCTGGTATGTAAAAGTTCCAATAATCATTTTTTTGATGCATAGATACATACATACATCATTTGTTTACTAAACACAACCCTGTGTTTATGTCAGAATTTTCATTGATGCATATGTCTGGTGTTACACCAAAGCATTCCAGAACACTAACGACATGTGCTGCAAAATAAATTATCCAGAATCAAATATTTTCATTTAATTATAATCTTTGTGCAGGAGGTTTCAACTTCCTCTTACCTGATTGGGACCAAAGCCACATAAGGTGAGTAAAATCTATTGGTTGATGTTTTGGTTGTTCTAATACAGATGACGAATGCCATAGCAAAAACAAAACAAAAAAATTGTATTTGTCAACGTCCGTAACTCCCCCTTTCAGTAGACATAGGAACATAAGAACAATTTCTTTCTTATATTTTTCTGTGCACACTAAAAACAAACAGCCTATTCGTTTGTTGGTTTCAGCCAGGGCTTATTAGCCATGGTATAATATTTTTCTCTCACAACAAACCAGCACCAGCCGGACTTATCAGCCCAAAAACTAACTAGCGAACAGGCTGAAAATTGGAAGACTATGCATGACTAATTGTGTTTTGAGTGTGACAATGCTTTAAGTGGAAGATAACCCTGTTATATAAAAACGAGCTTATGAATATAATGGTTACTCAAACATCAAATTTTTAGTACCCTATTGTCGTACTTCTTGCATATATCTCGCTATCTGAATGTGTGTTGTCCATTT